CTCCTTTTAAACATCATTTCAAAAATTTTGGCTATCACCGCCTAAGACTTCCTTCAACCTCAACTAATCGTTTTCTAAAGTCTTTCTAATTATACATTTTGTTACTATAATTATTGCTATAAACTCAACTTTCCAATACAGTGGTACCCCTGGTTACATACTTAATTCATTCCGGAGGTCTGTTCTTAACCTGAAACTGTTCTTAACCTGAAGCACCACTTTAGCTAATGGGGCCTCCTGCTGCCGCTGCACCGCAGAACAATTTCTGTTCTCATCCTAAAGCAAAGTTCTTAACCCAAGGTACTATTTCTTGGTTAGCGGAGTCTCAGCATGGTTCATCAATTTCTCTTGCCACTCTTCTTTAGTTGGCACTTCTTCTTGTTTCCATCTTTGGGCTAATAGTATCCTTGCTGCAGTTATCACATATAAAAACAATTTTTTATCATTCTTATGAATTTCTGTACCCACAATACCCAATAGAAGGGCTTCTGATTTTTTAACGAATGTATATTTCAACATTTTTTTCATCTCATTATAAATCATTTCCCGGAAGTCCTTCACTTTCTTACATTCCCACCACATATGGCAAAAGGTACCCTCTTTTTCTTTGCATTTCCAACATTTATTATCTGTTTTGTACATTTAACTAATTTTGCTGCTATATACCACCTATACAACATTTTCATAATGTTTTCTTTCAATACACTACAGGCAGTAAATTTTATTCCCTCTTTCCATAATTTCCTCCAATCTTCTATTTGTATATTATGACCAATATCTTTGGTCCAATGGATCATAACCGATTTAACTTCTTCATCTTTCAGATGCCATTCCAATAGTAATTTATACATTTTAGATAATATTTTAATGCCATTATTTAATAACTCCAATTCAAATCTTGATTTTGTATATCTAAATCCATTTTTGTTTTTATCCTCTTTAAACATTTCATTGGCTTGACGAAAATGCAACCAGTCATTCACCATACATTTTACATCTTCATATGGCTTTAACTTCCATTGGTTCTCCCTAGTAATAACTAGTTGTTCATAGGTGGCCCAGTTTTTCCTCATATTTGTCTTTTTTACACTCATTGCCTCAAGCGGCGAGAGCCACATGGTGTCTTATGGTCTAGTAGATTTTTGTATCTGCCCCACACCTCATACAATGACTTTTGAAATATGTGGTGCCCAAATCCTTTATGAACTTTTGCTTTATCATACCATAAGTATGCGTGCCATCCAAATCTGTTGTCAAATCCTTCCAGATCTAAAAGATCTGTATTCTCCAACACCCAATCCCTTAACCAATAAAGGCATGATGCTTCATAATACAGTTTCAAATCTGGTAGGGAGAAGCCACCTCTTTCTTTTATATCTGTTAACAATCTTCCCTTGCCAGATATATCTTGAAATTGCTTTCTGCCACTCTCTAAAAATACCAACGCCGTTAATGACTGGGATTGATTGAAATAAGAACAACATTTTTGGTAGCACGCTCATTTTAATAACTGAAATCCTACCCAGTAATGATAGTTTCATTCTTCCCCACACTTCTAAGTCCCTTTTAATACCATTCCATTGTCTTTAAATAAATTTATATTCTTCGATGTTAACCAGATTCCTAGATATTTAACTTTTTTAACAACCTCAATTCCACTCTGATGCTGCAATGTATCGATCAAGTCTTGGTTCATGTTTTTCACTAACATTTTTGTTTTCTTCTTATTTAGTTTGAAACCTGCTACTTGCCCAAATTGTTCTATTATTTCTAGTGCTTCTCTAGCACTAGTTAATGGTTTGTCCACTGTTATAACTAAGTCATCCGTAAAGGCCTTTAACTTATATTCCTTTTGACCAACTGAAATCCCCTTGATTTTTTCTGCTCTTCTCATATTCTTGAGGAGTACTCCAGGACCGAGATGAATAGTAATGGAGATAAAGGACAACCCTGTCTTGTACCTTTTGTAATTTTCTATTTGAACATTATTTGCTATCAGTTTTGCTTTTTTGTCTGAATATATTGCTTTAATACCTTTTACAAACGTTTGTCCGATATCCATCAATTCCAATTTTTTTATCATAAATTCTCATGAGATATTATCAAAGGCTTTTTCTGCATCTACAAATATTAAGACTGCTTGCTTATCATTCCTAGCAGTCAAATATTCAATAATGTCCACTACAGCGGTACCTCAGGTTACATACACTTCAGGTTACAGACGCTTCAGGTTACAGACTCCGCTAACCCAGAAATAGTACCTCGGGTTAAGAACTTTGCTTCAGGATGAGAACAGAAATCATGCGGCGGCAGGGCAGTGGCAGCAGGAGGCCCCATTAGCTAAAGTGGTGCTTCAGGTTAAGAACAGTTTCAGGTTAAGAACAGACCTCCAGAACGAATTAAGTTCTTAACCCGAGGTACTACTGTATATTCCTTATGGTATCTTTCATTTGTCGGCCTGGAACAAAGCCAGCTTGATCTTCTTGTATGATATCCTTTAACACATTTTTCAATCTATTTGCCAAAATACTCACATTTAACTTGTAATCATTATTTAATAATGAAATCGGCCTATAATTTTTAACTTCTAATGAATCAGTGTCTGGTTTTGGGATTAATGTAATAAAAGCTTCTTTCCCCTGCCCTTATTTTCATTCCTGCTCATACCATTCCCATCCTCTGAAACATGGATGGAAAGGGGCACAACTGATGAGGTGAAAGCTCAAATCAGCATGGGTTGCAGAAAGTGGGCTCATTGTAATCCATGATGGCTCATTGACAAGTTCTGTAAGTGTAAATTCTCCTGCAAGTGAGACCATGGTCCACTTAAGAGGGATCTAGCTCTCCAAGCACCATAAATTCTCCCAATTTTTGTCCTTCAAGACTTAACTCCTTCAGCTGAGTGACTGCTTAGAGCAGCGTTCCCTAACCTGTGGCTCCCCAGAAATCATAGAATCATAGAGTGGAAGGGACCCGAAGGATCATCTAGTCCAACCCCCTGCAATGCAGGAATCTCAGCTAAAGCATCCATGACAGATGGCCATCCAACCTCTGTTAAAATCCTCCAGGGAAGAAGAGTCTACAACCTCCCAAGGGAAACCCTTCCACTGTTGAACAGCTCTCGCTGTTAGAAAGTTCTTCCTGATGTTTAGTCAGAATCTCCTTTCCTTTCTTGTAACTTGAAGCCATTGCTTCAAGTCCTACCCTCCAGAGCAGGAGAAAACAAGCTTGTTCCTTTGACTCCAGTGCCCATCAGACCCAGCCAGCATGATCAATTGACTGGAGTTGTGGTCCTAAACATCTGGGGAGTGCCAGCTTAGGAAAGGCTGCTTTAGGCTGACAAACCATCTCAGCAGCTAGATGGGACCTCATTGGCTCTAGCATCACCTGACTCATAGAATCATAGAGTTGGAAGAGACCACAAGGGCCATCGAGTCCAACCCCCTGCCAAGCAGGAAACACCATCAGAGCACTCCTGACATATGGTTGTCAAGACTCTTTGCAAGCTATTAGATGTGAGCATTTTATTTGGCCAAGGAGCAGGAGAGCTACTACAGGGGTATAGAGAATAAGGCTCCTGGCTCTCTACCCTCACTGCCGGTGGTCCACATTGAAAAACCATAGCATCAGGATCAGCACCAGATTCCAGAGGGCCCTGGAGCAAGACATCCTCCTCTGTGGGTCCTGTTGCTTCAGTGAGCCTCTTTCCTTACTGCTGCCATTCCAAGGGGCTCTTGCCATTTGGAACCCTGGCAGATGCCAGATTCTACCAATCCTACCTGGTTCCTGATGTGCACGCCCCTCATGTGTGCAGAGGGGGGAGGTCCACAAGGCAGAGAGAACCCCAAGCTCAAGTCTCTAGTTCTCTTCTATCCAATCTGTAAAGAAACTGTAGAGTTCTCTCCCAGCTTCAGGCTCCGTTCTGGTCCCATGGCTGAAAAACTGCCAGGGAAGCAGAAAGCACTTATTATGCTGACTTACATTTTAGCGGCATTACCATGTCAGGAGTGTGCTTGTGTGTGTGCGTGTGTGTGTGTTTGTGAGCTGTGAAGACTTTAATGAAGTGCTGAGGCTTCATTAAATGGTCCCTGAGACAGGCGCAGGCTCCCTTGATACCGCGGTGCTGCTTCAAAAATACCAAGCCACAGAATAATAATAGCAGTCCGCTGCTATGATTTGCTGCTTAATGGCTCTCTTAAAACGGGATTTGGTACCTATGTGCCAGGGTGATCGGAGCCTTATGAATACCGCCGGATCGATGGAGGTTAATGAAAGGAGGCTGTGTGCATTGAGTCAGGAGACGCAGAGCATTGCCCACATGTACTTATATGCCAAGGATGGGGAACCTTCCCCCCCCCCAGCTCAAGGGCTGTGTTCCGGTTCCAGGAGCCACATTCCACTGGTGGGCAAAATGGGTAAAGCAGTGGATGCAAATGTTAGCTTTTCACAAAGGGCTAGTTTCTACACACACACACACACAGAACACACCCCTCTCTACCCTCCATCTGGAGAAGCGAGAGGCATGATCAGAAATCAAGGACACATCCCAGCCAGGTCAAAACACCTGGAGAAAGTCACAAGGCAGAGCTAGTCAAGGGCATGACCTGCAGAAGGTGTGTGTGGCTGGGCAGGGTGTGGTCTGGGAGAGTGTTAAGAGGCAGACATAGAGTCCCCCCCAGCCTGGGACCCCCCCCCCACCATGATGTTGTCACACAGGTGACACCATCCTTCTGGGAGCGCAATGCATTTGAGCCGCAGGAGAGGAGGAAGAGGTGCTTAATGGCTGCTAGCCATGTTGGCTGTGCTCTGCCTCCACATTCAGAGGCTGCTTCTGAATCCCAGTTGCTGGAAACCACAAGAGGGGAGAGTGCTGGTTTCACCATAGGCAACTGTTCCGCCCCTGTGAGAAAGGATGTTGGACTGGATGGGCCGTTGGCCTGATCCAGCAGGTTCTTCTTATGTTCTCATGTCTAATGAGCACTCTACCCACTTTATGTGCAGGGCCATAGCTCAGTGGACGATCATCTGCCTTGCAGGCAGAAGATTCCAGGTTCAATCCCCCTGTCATCTCCAGGCAGAGCCTGGAATCCTGGAGAGCCACTACCAGTCAGTGGCTCTCCAGGACAAATTCAGTATAGGCCGCTTCCTGTGTTCCTGTTTTCTTATGATGTGTAGCAGCTAGGGCTGGTCCAAGGCATTTTGTCACAAGTTGAAGGACAAGAGTGGATCTCCTTCCCCATCCCATGTCCTGTATGGGCTGGCCTTTACTATAATGATGTCAAGGGCTAGTAGTGTTTTCCATTGCCCCCATGGACATTGGGATCGCATGGGGGGTCAGGACTGTCTACATGACACATGCACTGTTACACTCAACTCCCACTCACAGGCTCCCCAAGGTCTAGCACTGCAAGCTCAGGATGCTGTGTGGGCTGGAGTTTTGGTCCAATCCAGCAGGGCTCTTCTTCTGTGGTGCTGAACCTGCTACTGACACGGGTAATGGAGCTACCCATGTCAAACCCCAAAATTTTTGCTACCTGAGTGGAGGCCAAATCAGATAAGATGTTGAAACTGGTGGCCTCTGTTGGTGTGGGAGTGCTACTAACAGCGAAGGCTTTCTGTGTGGCCCTGCAAGTTGATCTTACAAGATGTAGTGGCTGAGCCACTGTATGCCTTTTAAAAAGTGTCGTGTGAGGAACTACACAAGTTAATGGAGGTGAGACCAAACTCTTTGAGACCTCAGTTCTTCCCTGGTGCCTGGAACACAAACACAATGTTGTCCCAAGTGTCAGGGACCTTGGGATATATCAGTTCCCATGGCACCTAGGCAGTGCTTTTTTCTGGGGGGAAGCAGGGGTATGCATACCCCTAAACATTTTGTGAATCTAAGTTTGGCCTCATTGAGGGGCAGTATTTCAATATGAGTAGGAAAAGGAGAGTACCCCTAAACACTTTTTAGAGAAAAAAACCCACTGCCCCTGGGTGAATGTTAGGTCCCCTGGATGCTCCATGTCCCACTTTGTCCTTTGTCCCCTGGACCTGTGAGCAAGACTCACTGACCATAACAGGGGCTTGAAGAGCCAGGGCTCAGTTGGTGCCTCGCAATGCAGAAGGTCCCTGGTTCATTCCCCAGTGGCATCTCCAGGAAGGGCTGGGAGCATCCCTCATCTGAAGAAGAAGAGTTTGGATTTGATATCCTGCTTTATCACTACCCTAAGGAGTCTCAAAGCGGCTAACATTCTCCTTTCCCTTCCTCCCCCACAACAAACACTCTGTGAGGTGAGTGGGGCTGAGAGACTTCAGAGAAGTGTGACTGGCCCAAGGTCACCCAGCAGCTGCAGGTGGAGGAGGGGGAAGTGAACCCAGTTCCCCAGATTACAGGACTACAGCTCTTAACCATTACACCACACTGGCTCTCTGAACCCCTGGCAAGCCACTGCCAATCAGTGCAGCCAATACTGAGCTAATACCAATACCAATACCAAATCCAATACCAATGATCTGACTTGGTTTCAGGAAGATTCCTAAATTCTGAGTAAAAATGTGTACATGGGATTGAGCTGAGAATCATTCACCAGATCATGGAACAAACAAACAAGAATGCCAGCTGATCTTCTCATGTTTCCAGCCCAACGCAAGAGAAAGGAGGGGCAACCCATCATCCATCTTCAGGTGCACATCAGTGAACCCCAATGGGGTGGGATGTGCTTCTCCATAATTATACTGCGGAGATGTGGTTATTCCTTCCAAGCCCATACACAAATGCTTAATAACCTGCAGTAACATTTTCCTGCTCATTAAGTGGCACTGTCAGGAAGACGCTTGCCTCTACCCTCCCATTCCCGGTCCTGTTAACTAACCGTTGGCAGCAAGACACTGGCACAGCTGATGACAAACTCATTCTTTCTTTGGCACCAAAGATGTCACAGAGAGGCAAAGGAAGGCATCTCCCTGTGGTGGAGATAGCCTCTCAGCCATTGCTACCCTCGCTCATTTCCCCCAGAGGCCCAATTTAAAGGTCACCAGGCTCTGTCAGAAAGCTCTCCCCTTGTTTAGATATAAACCAATAGGCTGCCCCTGTGGCTGCAGCAATCACTGCCTGCCTGGGGCCTTCGCTTGCTGCAGAACCTTGGTAACAATCTGTATCCTGGATGGTCACACCTCCAGTATGCGAATAGCATACCTGCCATACCCTCCAACATTCCTCAGATGAAAATAGGGACATTTCTCACTCCCTGCCAACTGACCCTGCTTGATCCTCCAGTTTTGACACACGCACCCCAGTGGGACACAACACACACACCCTCCACCGTCCTGAGAAAACCCCTTAATCCCAAATTTATTTCATTCTTTGGAAGATTTACAAAAATAAAAACACACCAATAAATAAATTTTAGAAGGGGGCAAGATTAGACGTGGCAGCACAAAGCCTTTTTTTTAATATAAAAGAATCAAGACTCCTTGCACTTTGCTCCCCCTTTCTTCTCATTCAGGGCAGCCCTGTCCTCTGGCTGCCCCTCAGAGTCGGCACGTCATGCAGGGTGGGGCCCTGGTTGCGATAGCCTCTCCACCTCCTCACCCGCCCTCCATCTGCCCAAGGGAGGAGGCCAGCGGCAGCAGCCACAGAGAGGCCACGGGATGCTTCCTCACAGCCGCCACTGCCGCTGCTGCCACTCAGGACAAGCGCTGACTGATCCTCATTCCCAAGCTCAGTGGCGGCGGCACTGGGGGGGGGGGAATAGGGACATTCTGAGATCAAATCAGAAGCCATGATGGCTTTCGTAATTCTGGGACTGACCCTGGGAAATAGGGACACTTGGAGGGTATGACATGCTGATAAGGGAGAAAGGCTCAGGATTCAGCACATGTGGAAGATTTCAGTTTCATTCCCTGACATCTCCAATTAAAAGTATTTTAGCTTGTGAATCTCAGGAAAGCCACAGTCTGGGACCTCAGAGAGTTATGTATTTGGGGGGTTGGAGACCTCCAAGTATAATCTGCTCAACATGCAGCGTCCTCAGCATAAGAACATAAGAAAAGCCTACTGGATTGAGCCAATGGCCCATCTAGTCTAGTAACCTGAATCTTGAGCTCTCTGGAGGAAAGGTGGCATAGAAATATATTTAATATATTAAATAAACAAATGTTGCAAACCACACACACACACACACACACACACGTGATGAATAGCAGTATATAAATAATTTAGATGATAGATGATAGATGATGATAGATGATAGATGATAGATGATGATAGATGATAGATGATAGATGATGATAGATAGATAGATAGATAGATAGATGATAGATAGATAGATAACTGAGGGGCAGAGCATTGCATTTCTCAAGGGGGAGAACATGGGTGACCCCGTTGGTCCTGCCTCCTCCTGTACCTCTGCATCACTATTCATGCACCCTACCCTACCCTGACGTGTTGGTAACGGAGTATCTGTCATGAGTTGCCTGTTTACAATTTGGCTCCCCTGATATTCCAGGGTGTCTTGAATGCCCAGAAAGACTTCCTTGAGGGTAGCAAGCTTCTGGCTATGGACAGTCAACCCTCCGTAGATGGTTGGTTGTTGGTTGTTTTTTTGTTTTTTGTTTTTTTTGGAAGAACAGAGTTGGGGATGTGAAAGAAGTGGAAGGGGCCAATGGGCTCCCCCCCCCCCCCCCGCCCATGCAATGACATTTGTGTGCTGGGAGGGGAAATGAGTCAACAGAGCTCAGGATAATAATCTATGTGTGTAGGCAACAAGATAATTCCAAAATATTGAAGCAGCGAATAGTCTATGGAGGGGATGTTCACTTCAGTTGAAGATGAGAGATGAAGCTGCAAATTTCAGCTTCTCTCTTTTTTTTCATTCCCCAAATTGAAGTTCAGTTTGCCCCATTTCTGCACCGGCATTTGCACACATAAATCTCATCATGAAAGTTCATCTGAATTTCAGTATTTGTGTTTTTCTGTTCGACACATTTTTCGTATGCAGTTTTGCCTGATATAATGCAGTATGTGCACACTATTTTTTGCAAATGAATGCATCTTAATGCACACTTCCCCCTAATATGAACATTCCCGTACACATCACTGGAGAACGGCATTGCAAAATTTGTAGAAGTGTGAATTTTGAAGGATAGCTGCTTCTTCACATTGTTTTGACAAGCAAGAACCATCTCCAGTTCATGCCCACTTCAATCCTTGATATCTCTATTTAGAGTTCCCAGCTCACAGGGCTCAGAAAGACCCTCCACCTGAGACCCATGAAATAGTTTGCTAGTCAGAGCACACTGCACTGAGCTTAGCAGTATTAATGGTCTAAGGTCACTTCTGCACCTTACATTGAAAGCACTGGTCTACCACTTTTAACAGTGAGGGCTTTCTCCAAAGCATCCTGTGAGGTGTAGTTTGTTATGGGTGCTGAGACTTGTTAGGAGACCCCTATTCCTCTCACAGCACAACAGTTCTCAGCATTGCCCGAGAAGGGGGATTAAACCACTTAATTTGAGGGGAATAGGAGGTCTCCTAATACCTCTCAGAACCCTTAAAAAACTACACCTCCCAAGATGCTTTGGGGGAAGCCATGCTTTAAATGTAAGATGTGGATGTGGCCACTCTCAGTGGAGGCCAGCTTTGTTATCTATATTCCCCTCCAAACAGTCTTTGGTTTTAATATGACTTCAGCGGAAACATGCTCTGATTTATGTTTCCACTGAGTGTTTTTTTTCTTGAGGTTTGCAGCCAGTGCCTTAAGCCTGTAAATAGCCATTTCACAAGTGCTTACCCATCCCAGTCCCGGTCTCAAGACAAATCCTCTCATACGGCAATATTGCTTTGTGCAAGCCAAATAAAAGGCAAGGCTATAAACCTTTAATAACACGCCTGCCGTCACCCGGCATGACACGACACAAAGGAGTGATTCTTCCACCCACAATGAATGATTCGCGTTCTTGGCATCAGAACCCAAGAGAATAGCAGCCCATCAAATTCCTGCAATAAAAACCCTGAGCACCAGAGTAACCTCAAAGCGCCGGCAGCCAAGTCCGGTGGACCTTCCTTATGCTTCTGTGACAGTCACTTG